CCTCGTTCTCAAATTTTGCGCCGCGCACATGCATTTCAATGGACCTGCACACATTTCGTTATTGGGAAATCGTAGTAGATGCAGAGACGGATGGGTACGAAATTTTCGTTTACTAATCGTTATGCACGCATAATTTGTTTACATTTTATGGGGAAAAAACAAGTAAAAAGTGAATAATTGCATTAAAATTACGTCAAAATTTTTATTAAATCCATAAAATATGTGGAAGAATTGAATATGTAATTGCATTAAAATTAAATAAAAAGAAAGGAAAATAAAAGGGGAAATAAAGGAAAAATTATGTCGGGAATCATTGCAGTTCATAATTGTAAACTGGCAGAGTTTTGTAAAAATTTCGAGAAAATTTCAACCATAAAACAGAAAATGCGAATATTTCGACGCGGAACGAATTAAAATATCACGATTGGGTGTGGGGAAATGTAATCGTTGAATCATGATTGTTACGATGAAATAACTATGATTGGACGGCCAGTGTTCAGTAAACCTAAAAGCTTATTTAGTCTAGACTTAACTTAACTTAATACAACTTACCGTTACAAATCATCAATGATTACTCAGCACGTCAAATTAAGCAAGAAGCGGGAATATTTTGTTTTTGTGTTTACTTTTTCAGCTGTTTGACAGTTTGCCGCCTAAAATGCCACATAGAAAAAATGCATGCAAAAAAATATGTTGCGTTCATTTGTTTTTGAGAAATACAAAAACGAAAATCTAGCAGGCCTGATTCTCTCACCGCTCTCAATTCCCGTAAGGCCATAACTTCAGAATCTAAAATCTACGGATTCTTAAGTTGCTTACGGTAAGTTAAGTTTTAACTAACCGCCAGTTTCTCATATAACAGGTTGGCCAAAATATTAAGTTAAGTTAAGTTACGGAAATTAGGTCTACAATAACTGAGTTTTAAGTATTAAAATCTTTATTTATTCAAAAAATTACAAATCTAATAAAATATATAAAAACTTATTATGCAAGGCTTTAAATTTTCATTCATTCTTTATTCCTTTAGCTAAAGTCCTTCTCCGAAAATGGCAAAATTTTCGTACAATCTTAGTGAGAAAACTTAAACAAAAACAGATGGGAGAATATGTACAACAATACTATTTATACGAACACATGAAATTTATCATTCCGTATTTGAAGAAATCATATGAGCCTGATGCGATAAAAAGAACCATTAAGAAAAAAGTGGACGAAGAAGAGGACGCCGATATAAATGAGACAGACTCACATCAAAGTACAGAGGATAGTGCCATCATTCCCGAAAATGATATCGACGATCCAGTTTATTTTGAAGAAGAAGAGGAATATGAAATGAGTCCACCTAGGAAAGTAAAGAAGTCGGATAGCTTTGAGGAGGAACCCGAATCCATTGGTATTGATGAGTACATTGATGCAATCAACCATCAAAGTGAAACGAAGTCGAATAATTTGGCTGGCAATGCATTAGTCAAACCCGAGTCCACAACAACCAGTCGCCCTTCAACTTCAGTTGCAGCGACGCAAGTACATAGAAAACTTAACCGTTTAGAAGAAAGTGATAATCCAAAGAGGCAGTTTATTCTCAGTTTGTTGCCAGACCTCTACGACATGAACAACACGCAGATGCGGAAATTTAAATCTAAAGTTTTAATGCTGGTCAGTGAAATTTTGGACGAAAATGCCACCTGATTTGATAGATTTATTAATATTTTAGGATTAAATTTTATGTTAAATATAATGGATTTTCGTGATCTGTTAAGAAATAATCGTATAAAATGAAAATATTATTTTTTTTTAACTAAATAAAAGTTTGTAAAGATTTATCTTCAGTATGTCGTATTTTGTTGAAACACATACATACATACACAAGTATGTATGGAGCCAAGTCCTTCTCCACTTGGTGTTTCCATTGCAGTAAGGGCTCGCTCTTCCTCTGGTACCACCAGCGAGTGCCGAGGTTAATACTTCCAGAGCAGGGATGTCGTTTGGATCTAAATAGATCCAATTGGATACATTTTTGGACGAATTTTTGCGAGATACTTGTTTTTTCCGATCAGTATAAATGTGGATACTTTTTTAAATAGGCCAAAATTTTATATTTTCTATAAAGTTTTTTTCGTTCAAAACTCGATTTCCATTAAAAATATGTATTAAAAATCACTACTAAACCGTGAAATTGAAGCATTTTGTTTTTTGTGAACGAAGCAATGAGCATATGAAGAGATGTCATCAAAATAGGCATAAGCGAAATTGTTTTAATTAGCTAGAAAGGGTGCTTTAAGCAAGATCTTAATATAGATATATATATATATAAAGTAAATATATACTCCCTCTGTAGTGATCTCTTTCATATCACATATTTTCATTTCTTAATTTAATTTTAAAAGTAATTTTTAAGCAAAAATACCGACTTCAATTCTTATATAAAAATTTAAGATTATCGTTAATTTCTTCATGATACAATGATCGGATTTAAACCAAACTTATATGGGACAACCTATGAGGTAACATCTTTCCTAAAAAAAAAATTATTGAAATCGGTTAACGTGGTCCAAAGATGTGCGGTAACATACATAAAAAAAATTGCGACGAATTGATAACCTTCTCCTTTTTGTGAAGTCGGTTAAAAAGAAAAAAATATCTCAGTGTTGTTTCAAAAACACTGTTTAAAAAACTAAATTTGACTTATTTAAGGAAATTTGTATGAATTTTACTGAAACGACTTTAAATACACTCTAAAAAATTTTTGTTTAAATCTAAACATATTAAGAGAGGTAACCAGTTGCCTACTTTAACATACATGCACATGTACAGGTACGAATGTAACATATTACTTATTATTTATTATACTTACTTTGCAAAATACTTATGCAGAAGAAATTTAACTTATGAACTGAATTTATAAATTTTTGATTTTATGGAAAATAAAAATATATACATGTATTCCAAGTCCTTAGGATGGGTTAAATGATGTATTTTTCTTGAAAATGTTTTGTTTTCTTACAAATTATGAGATGGATACTTAAAAAAAGAAAATTGGATACATTTGGATACATTTTTTGCTTGGTCGGTGACACATTTTCTTGAGACGTCGCGGCAACACTGTTCCAGAGTTGGAGCGTCGGTGTCCATTCGAACAACATGGCCAAGGCAGCGGAGCCACTATGTCCACATCGGTGCAAAGCTGCCACAAATTTTCCGCAAAATCTTTCTCTCGAATACTCAGAGGGCCGCCTCATCGGATGTTATCATTGTCCATGCTTCTGCGCCATATACCAGAACGGGCAGGATGTATGACTAATAGAGAGTGGTTTTCGTACGTCAAGGAGTGGTTACTCCTGAATTACTTCTTCTTCTTCTTATTTGACACTACAATCGTTTGTCGACCAGGGTCGAGACCAAACAGCTTCGCCTTTCTCCTGTGCGAATTTACGCCACTTCGTTATCCCGTTTTGCACTTGGTCCTTCCATTGCGTTCGTGGGCGCCCTTGATTTAATTGTCCACCCATGGGTGCGGTGTCGAATGATCTTTTCACAGGAGCGTCGTCATCCATGCGTACAACATGTCCAAGCCAACGCAATCGCTGTATTTTTAGCCGTTTAACTATGTCCATGTCGTTAAAAAGCTCATACAGTTCGTCATTCCATCTTCATCGGTACTGAATAGCTCTCTCGTAAGCCCCCAAAACGTTCTCCTGTTTGTTAGACATCGTCCATGTTTTTGCTAGAACAACAATGGCGACCTAGTGACCCATGTCCAGAATGTAGTTAAGTTATGGAGGGAGCGCTTTTCCACATTTTTGAATGGCAACAGCACTGAAAGTAGTGGAGAAGACGAACCCGACCCCACAGTCGATGATGCAGGAGTCGATGTCCCACCGCCTGACTATGACGAGGTCCTCCTTCATCATCGACTGCGGGCTCGGGTTCTTCTTCTCCACAGCTTTCCGTGCCGCTACCACTCAGTATGGCGGAAAAGTGTAATTTAAGTACGCTCTGGACATCAGTTACTAGGTCGCCAATATTGTTCTTACAGGAGTACGCCCGGGTCTTGAAACCGTCCGTAAGTCGCATAACTCTCTGGTAAAATTTTCGGGCATTCTTCCTATCGGCCAGCATTTCAAGCTCTTCGCACTAGCGTATTTCAGCCTCTCTCTTCTTATTGCGGCAAATACGTCTCGCTTCCCTCTTCAGATCCCTGCAGCGGTCCCACATAGCGCGCGTTGTTTTTTTAACCATTTTTATTTGCTATTTTTTATATGACGCCTTAAAACTTAAATATATACATGAAAAAAAACAGGGGTAAAGTTTCTTTCGATAGAGATAAATTCGGGGGTGTGCGGGCATGGAAATTCCGACCTTGATTTTTCGCATGCATTTTTGGACCACCCTAACGTACATATGTACATATATATAACACGGAACAACTGTATCAGCCCCGTTCTGAATACTCCCGGGGAGTTTGTTCTCCGGGAATTTATTTCTCTCGAGAAAGAAATTCTCCTATAATTAACACCCAGGGAGTAGCATTTTCCCCGAAATTTTGGGAGGAGGAAGCTCGAACTTCGAAAGAGCTGTTTGACACTTTATGACAGCCCAACTCCGCCATTTAAAATAAAAAGTCTTCAGGGAATTTTTATTTTTATAGGAGGAAAGGGAAAAGAGAGAAAACTCCCAGGGAGTATCTGTTCAGAATCGACCTGTGTATTCCAAAAGAATTTCCATCAGGGTATGATTAATGCACAAAAACACATACATATGTACCGGCACATCAGGCAACATATCCATTTTTTCGCGCGCTTTTCTATTCTGCTTCTGCATACCTACCTTTTGAATTTCAAACCACACACAACCGCTTTTATGCGCATCATCCACTGTTGTTTTGAGAAGCATATGTATGTACGTAATATTTATGTATATGTTGCCGCGCAACATACACTCTCTCAAATAACGGACAAGACATCGCATGAGAGCCAACAAGTCGTGTACTACTCGTAGCTGCAAACTCAAATGTCGTTTCAATTTGTCGTGAACAGTCTGAGCGTCTGTATTCGTTTGCTCGCGGTTGTATGTGTTCATAATTTTACGTGGTTTTATTTTGAATTTTCAATTATTTGCGAAAATATGGACGTTAATAAAAGTATTAATATACGTTTAGTGCAGATTGTGGAAAAATATCCCTGCTTGTATAACTCTTCACTAAAATCCTATTCTAAACGCCAATGCACTGACAGGGCGTGGATTGAGGTGGCAGAGCAGATGAATAGCACACGTAAGTACTGATTGTTTGTTGGAATAATTTTCGTAGATACAGGTATAAACATTTAAGAGTCCCTGTCGGAAAACGCACTAGTGACGAA